GAAAGTAAGACAGGAAATTATGGCAAGCAATTGCCAGCAGATATATAATGTTGCTGGGCAGAGCACTCTACTTAGCAGGTGCAAATACTCAACTAAGTGGGAAATCTCAGAAAAGTTTGTACAAGAAACGTTTTTACCATGGACTGGAGAAAGAGAGGGGGATTAGCTCCCTCCCATCTACCATTTCCCACTGGTCCAGGTTTACATCGCTGGAGGTTAATCTCTCTGTGCTTCTGGGTTGTATAATTTGGTCCCTTTGATGGTGTCTATGATGCCAGATTCATGCCCTACAATGCAGGGTTTGTTTGGTTTTTTTCTATATTCTAAAAATAGGAGGAGACAAATTCTGAGTGTATGACTGCTGGGGCTACCTGTGCAACCAAGGGCAGTGCAAGTTGTTGCAGGCTCCAGATGATGAAACTTGCCATGGACACTTCTAATTGGACTCAGTCAGCTACTGAGGAAAATCGAGTGGGTGAAAGTCCTCGGTGGTGATGTGGAGGGCATCAAAGGCAGGGGTCAGCCAACTGCTACCTGCAAGCCCAATCTGGCTTGCCACCTGTTTTTGTATAGTTTGTGAACTAAAAATGGTTTTACACTTTTAAATGGTAAAAAAAAAAAGAAGAATATTTCATGACACATACAAATTATATGAAATCCTAATATCAATGTCTATAAATAAAGTTTTATTGGAACACAGCCATGCTCATTCATTATGTACTGTTGGTCTCATGCAACAGAGTCGAGTAGTTGTGGTAGAAACTGCATAGACTGCAAAGCTTAAAATACTTACCACCAGGACCTTTACAGAAAAGGTTCTTGCTGTACATAAAGCACATAAGGGAGCCCATTTAGTGTATCTGAATCAAGAAGCAAAATAAAACATTCCCAGCAAAATGCAATGGGCTATAACCACTCAAAAATTATGTTACAAACTACTACAATTTACACACTTATGTCCTCAAAATTGTGAATATAATTGCACTCTCATGTACAATCTGAAGAACCTTCCATGGTTAATGTCCCGTGATCTATTAAAGCAGTCACCTACAGAAAGAGAAAATAACTTTTATGGCTTTAACCCCGACAGAAATATAGTAACTCTATTCCCAGGTGAATAGAATCTCAGAACACTATCCTTATATACAACAGAGTGAATAAGAGAGCTAACATTATTTGTTTATTAAATTTCTAATTCAAGTCACATGTTTTTAATTTAAAAATCCTGCTTAGGAAAAAAACTGTGCACATACAGAGAAACCACAGCCCTGAGCATGTCCTCCATGTGCACTAGCAGGCACACTAGTTCCTGTGGTTATTGTTCCAGATGAGTTAAAGGCCCAGAGTGTGCCAGCTCTGTGCCAGGTGAAACAATACACAGCCACTCCAATAATAGGCTGCATTTTGCTGACAGCTAGAACAGAGAAGCAGTCTCAGTGACTGACTATATTAAGAAATGAGCAAAGAAAGATTTTGAGCAGTTAAAGGGTATCTTTTATTTGGGGATGAACTAAGTTCTGTTTATTCATTCACTCATAAAGCATCTACTGAGACCCTATTATGCCCCAGGTGCTGGGTGAGATGCTAAGGAGACTTACATAAGTAGGACACAGTTCCTGCCTTGGCACTTGGGATATTATCAACCAGCACTCCAGCCCCCATTGCCTGGATGCTGTAAACTACACATTACCTCCCAGAATAGCCCTCTCTGGGGACCTGGGCTCCCGGCGGAACAGTATCTAACTATTCTTGGCTCTACTTCCCAAGGCGAGCCTGACCTTTCATGGCAGCTGGATAACATGAGCTGCTGGAGTCATGCAAGCCTCTCCCAGGATGTGTGCCCCCGAGCCAAGCATGTGCAAGGTCCGCTTTTTTCAAGAGAGGACTCAGCCCTGGCTCCCAGAGCTCTAGGATGCCCTCTCTGCACTGCTATGGAGGCACTAGTCTGCCTCTCAGCAGCTGACCTACTTTGTGAGATCAAGCCTTCTGATCTGTCCAAAAGTGGATTTTCCTTGGGAGTCTTAGAGGATCTTGGGATAAAAAGCTGGAGCTTGATTTATTTATGTGCTTTATCCACAGCAAGGGTCTACCTTTCTGATAGGACTGACTAGGCATGTGGAGGGTTCTCTTTAAAACAGCCACTTGATGATACTCTGCCATCAATAGTGTTCACAAGACTGACTCCTAAGGAACAGTGTTTTTCAAAGTAGTTCTATATGAGCATTAATGGTGGGAGCATTTATGTGTGTTCTACTACACCATACTTCAGTATGGTGTAGTAGAACACACATAAATGCTCCCACCATTTTTGACTATTAAACATGAATCCTTATTTATGTGCTTCTGCTCTAAAGGTGCAGGAACACTGTATTTCTGGATGAACTGGAGTAAGAATTCTGTCACTTGAATATGCTTCAAAACACTGAAAGCATTATATCTTAACAAAAAAGACATACAGCCACCTTGGGCTTTGGTGATATATATATATAATTTTTTTTGCACCAATTCACCCAGACAGAACATAGCAGAGTTTTGCCATCTTCCATTGATTCCAAGATGCACATAAATCAGGACTTACCTCCCAATCAATGGCATTATACCATTATTGTCAGTCAGGAGATGACCACACTGCTTATGCCAGCCATCAGGGACCACCCAGCCTCAGACCATTTGACATTAGATTCTCTTCTTGAGGTTCTTTTGGGTCACGCTGATTGTGCAAATTGAGAAAGCAAACCTGCATGAGGACCAACTACCTGGGGCTCCTATTCTCAGGGGAGGATTTTTCATCCCTTCACCTAGCATCAAAATACAACACACACGTTTCCTTGTTTTCCCTTTTTGCTTATTTCTTATTTGAGGGTGTCCCTTTTTGTGTGGGGGTCTCCTATTGGTGTCTATATTTCTAAAATGACAAGATTGGACAAGGCTATTTGTCTATGAATTTCTGAAAGCTAGAAGAGTGCCTAATATACAACTGGCACTCGTTATTAAATTTAAATTATTGTTTTAATCTGAACTTAATCCAGCTCTAATTTTCTGATTGGTCATTTATTTATGTCCAGAACAATTTAGGTAAAGCTAGCTTGATGTTTTAGTTGACTACTGTGCATGGCCTATAGTACTTTATTCTCGTCTGCTTCTCCGACCTGCCTTTCTGTGATTTACTATAGTCTCAGCTCAACAGGCCTCTGACCCATTCCAGGCATGGAATTTCAGATGAGGCCATAGTCTTAAGCCCAAAGAAAGTACCTTGAAGAAAACATCTCCTTACGTTTTACAGGGAATCCAGACATATGCCACATGCTGCCGAGTGGAGCTACTATCACACAAACTACTAGCAACAAAGAGGATCCTGAGAGATGAATGAGGGGCATATGCCATTTTCTTTAAAGGAAACTTTAGGAAGAATGGGTAAGTAAAAACCTAAAAACATTTAAACATAGATTTATATTTTATGCTAAGTGGTAATAGCCTCTAAACCATAAGACAAAAAATCACGTGGAGTCAAAATAACATTAGAAAATACCCCAAACTTCTCATAGCTCTGGTATGGTGTAAGTCCTAGAGAAACCCAACTCTTTCTTTCCCAGCACTGGAAGAAATCATGCCTTCTTTAGTTGAGTGCCAGAGGATATAATCAGCTTGCACGTAAGGGTCATGTTAGATATAAATATGTATATTATTTTTGAAACGAGAATCATAATTGGCACAATAAGATATTCACACTCTAGGAAGCATGTTCATCCTAGGTCTTACACTTAGTCCGTGAAATAGCAAATGAAAAATAAGCTATTCTCCTCATTTTCTTTTTTTTTTTTCTTTGCTGACCTCCAATAGTTGGACTTTGTGTTAAATATTCACATTGTGGCACTCCTCTGTACAGGAAACCCAGATGCCAGCTTAACCACGATCAGTACACAGCATCAACTGGAAGGAAATACATCCAGGAGGAGCCTGAGAGTGAGCAGAGACCTCACAGTGCGATTGGTTCCAAAAGGGAAAAGAGGAGTCTTCAGGCAGGAGATAATCAGGGATGGGTGCTGGGCTCATACCTCAAGAGAGTACAAATTACTACCACAGAGAATCCTGGCACTGGGTACTAGAAGCTGTGACACTGACACTGTGACACAGTCCTCTGGGGTTAGAGTCTCTCCTGCTGGTATGAGAGATGGGCAAGCCCCTATGGGTCCATAGAGGATCTTTAAATGAATTAGAACAAAGCGCTCCTTTGGCAGAAAGCCCTGCACCAAGGGGCATGGCTTGGCACCAGCCTGTAGACTGGATTCCTGCCCCACTTGCTCTCTCAGCCCAGCACCTCTGCATAGTGTTCAAACTATGCAAAGCTACACAGTGGCCCTGATGATGAGATCTGCACAGACCCGGGAGTGATGGTCAAGGTCTGTGTTAATCCTCCCACTTTGTGAAGCTGAGCTGTTCTCAGAGTTAGGGTTGTCTCCGCAGTGGGGGGCTGCAGAACTCTAAGGCAGGCAGCCAGGTCTCATTATGTGTGCTGGGCTCAAGAACAATCCTTTAATCCCACCAACAATCCCTGCAACAAGAAACACTGATTTTCCTTTTATTTAATTAGAGAGCTGTTTTCTCATGAGCATTTTGCTTGACTTATGAATATCTATTGTTCAAAATATAATTGCATACTCAGCACTGCTCAATGGAAGTGGGACCATTTGGGTTTATACTGCTTGCTTTATATTTTTAAATTTTTTGCTTAAGTGTATATGATTTATTTCATCACAATGCATAAAATCAAGGCATTCCAGGAGGACTCTATGGTTGTATGTTGTTTTAGTTGCTTAGACTCATGGAGAAGACTGTGCCAAACCCACAAGACTATGGCCAGGCTGACTCAAAAGCTTTGAAATTTAGAGTGGTGACCAGGCTGAGTCTCCAAGGTGCCCACAATCTTCAGACATTCAACCAATAAAAAGTAAATCCATTTCGACTGCATGAAAGACTGAATCATACTTTCAAGCATTGGGTAGCATATAACAGCAATCAGATACTTTTTATTTTTCAGCTATTTTGATGTTCTCTAGATACTGAAATACATTTCAGAGAAAACCTTTCCAGTTTGAGAAAAATTGTGCAGACACTTTCGTTGAGCCAGGTCATTTCATTGGCCTCTACTGGCCTTCACCGTGGTATTGGGAAGTGGAACTTTGAAGGCAAGGATGGGTGAGTTCAAACAAAACCATAAAGTCATATTTTGATGTTCAATATCACCTATTTGTCTTCTCCAAATTCCATGATTTCCACCATCATCCATTATAATCTCCCTGCTGCCTCCATCCTTTAGCCAAAAAGGAACTCCTTGTCCACTCTTCCCCACATACATCTAGCTGTCCTATAGCCTTGCCTTTGCTTGTGTTGTTTTTTCTGCCTCATCTCAGTTTTCAAGGCATCTAGAGTGACAAATATCCAGTAAGACTTATTTACAATTGCAGTACTCCATTTAATAGACAGTAAGTTAAAGTGTTGGCCACACCCTACTAAGATCATCATCTTCTCTTCAAATATGCATTTACTTCAGTTGAATACACTTTTACTTTTTCTCTCAGCCAGTCATCCACAGATATTTACAAAACATCTGTCATGTGCTAGGCATTGTTCTAAGCTTGGAGAACAGACGAAAATAAAAACTAAAACATTTTCTCTCATAAAGGGTCTTAAATCTCTTACTGTTTTACTATGAGAAATGTATCTGGTTTCCCATTAAAGCACTTAAAAGTACATTAAATTACACAATTAATCTGAAATTACTCAATTAATGGCCAGAAATTATCTGTAGTTGACATTCTGTTTATAATTTATTTTAAGAAACAGTTCTAGTTAACAGTTCTGGTTAAATAGTTAACATTTGCTTCCCATTGTCTGTAGGATAATTGTATAAATTATTTCTAATTTTTAAAAAATGTTCTGATTTTTAAAAAATGAGTTTTAAATATTTTTGGCCAATACCTAACATAAAGTTTTTTTGTTAGTTTTTTAATGACACAGATACAGAAAAGTACACAAATCATAATGATGCAGTTCAGTAAATCACACAATGAATTTCTCAAAGCAAACACCCATGTTATCACCACCCAGATCTCAAGAGAAAATAGCACCCATATCCCCAGAAATATTCCTTTTATCTTTTATCAGTCAAAACACCCACATTTCTCCCCAAAGTTAACCACGATCCTAATTTCTAATACGCTTGCTAAGCTTTACTTAGTTCGAGACTTCATATAAATGGAATTTGAAAATTGGTGTTCTTTCACGTCTGGCTTCTTTCTTTCACTCAACATGGTGCTTGTGAGATCTGTCCATACTGTAGTGGGTGACTGTATGGTATGACATCATATGAATATACCACCATTGGTTTATCTATTATGGATAAGAAGGGAGTTTCTGTAATTAAACTGACAAGTCCAGTGGCTGCAAGTAACTCACAGGGTAACCTGAACATAAATTCCTAACTGAGCAGGTCATGGTGGGTAGTCATGCCCCATACCTATAACTCTTCTAGGAAAAGATTTAAGCAAGCCCTGTCGATTGTTTTTGTGCATCTCAGTTAATTCACCTGTGAAATGCTAGAAGTAATCCTCTTTTCCAGATCTGTGGAAGATGTAACCACACTTAAGGGAGCACATCATCTTGCTAACCAGCTTGTTACATAATCTTCCTCACATTCCACTTTCAATTCCAAAGGAATAAAATAAACTTCAAATTTGTCATTCTCCAGAGCATTTGAGATCTTGTTTCCCAGCATTATCCTGTTTTGCTCATACTCTTATAAAAGTTCTCTACAGGTTTGAATGTTCTTATGTTGACACTATTCTACTCTCAATGAAATGTTCCGCTTCACCCTAATACTGATCATATAGAATTCCTCCTTTGAACTCAATATCTACATGAAGGAAGACCAGTTTTCATTATTTTAATATATTCTGGTTTTCTGATTATGTCAATCAAAGAGATGAGCCCCTTGACTCTGATGTGTCAATTATGCCTCTGTGCTTAGGCTGAATTAATGAAAGTATTGTGCGTGTATCTTTATTTTAACTACTGTCTCGTCATCACCTCATACTGCCCTTCTCAAAAGTATCTTCCCATGTCACAGTAAACAGTTCAGATTGATATATGTTTCCACATGCAAAAGGGTCCAATTTGTGGTTTCCAAACATCATGTATTCTCATATTCCCTTTTAGAGACCTCCTGCCCTCATTGAGTGGCTGATCATTAATCTTACATATGTGCTGTCTTTTCATAATGTTATCGTCCACAGATCAGTTTTTGTTAGATGGCTATTTGCCTGGTCAGCACTCAGCAGAAGACGAAACAGTGTCAACCTCAATCGGCTAATGATCAAACACAGGATGGGCATTAAAAGCCATGCCTACCAAAGTCACAGGAGTGGATCTGTGATATCCGTTGACAAATAAGTTAGTTATGATTTCATAGTGTCTTCTTTATAAGGCATCCTGAGGAAAAATCCCTGTCAGAACCTTATTCCAAAATCAGCTGTACTTCTCTTGAGCAATTTTTCTGTTTGTATCCTAAGGAGATAAAAAAATATGTTCAAATATGGTTTTCAGAATATTCAAAGCCAGATTTGTGACCCACGCAGATGACTTTTAAGGATGTATTTTTCATCTTACCCTGCCTATACCCTAATCCCAATTTTATTTTTTGTCTCTTCTTTTGCCCTATTTTTAGTCTCCAATATTGTGTGACATTGTTACCTGAAACAATGTCTGGAACAAGGAATAAGACAGAGTATACAGACACTAAGAAATGAATTGCTTCTATTATTGATTTGGTTACTGAATGCTCTTATGATTAAGAAGCACCACCATTTTTATCAGGATCCAAAAGTGAGAAATGGAGAAGCCATGGTCTTTTTGTCAAATATACCATGGTCTTTTGAGTTTAAAGGTGCCATAATTATTTTCTAAATTTATTACAATATTCAAGTTTTAAAATTCCATTTTTTTTTACAAATGACTTGAATAACTTAGGAGAAAAACTGCTATAAAGCATTTTTCCTAGAAATGTTTTTTCTGCCTGTCTTTCCATATTATTGTTTAATACAGAAAGATCTCAGAGATATTCTTTTTTAAGAAGTAGGAAAAATAAGACTTTATATTTTTATTGCCTTAAATAAACATAAAGTACCTCTAGAGAGATATGTAAGTAATGGCGATTACCTATTTGAGGATTGTAACTGCCTGAATGGAGAACAGATAAGGGAGAAAGATTTTATTAAATTTCTTTTTAAAGTTATTGGGTTTGACACAGGTTAACATGTTACAAATTCAAAAACTTAAACAAACCAAAAAACTATCATACTTAAAATGTCCTCAAAATGAAAACACCTCTACTCCAATAAAACCAAACAATTATCATAAAACTATCTATTTTTATGTTGCATATTTTTATATAGTAACAATAATGAGTTGAGAAATAAACCAGGTACAATCTAAAAGTAGAGTAAATATATATAATTATATACTCATGTATATAATTATATGCTTATATATACTTTTATCATGATCTTCAAAATGAAGAGAACAAACTCTTGCTGCTCACCATGATGGAGTAAGTGGGACTGGACTGGTCTGCCCACTATAAAAACTAGAAAAGTAGAAAAAAATACATGAAACATTTTTCAAACACTGGACAACAGGAAAAAAGTAGAATATGATTTTCAAGATAAGAAAACTAATGGAGGAAACCCTAGAATCACCACAGCTTTCTGCCCAGAAGTACATTCCAGACCACAGTATAAGGAGAGAAACCCAAGTATATCATAGCTTCAGACTGAGTTAAGGAAACAGAGATCAGAGTTCAGGAAGGCTGAAGCAGGTGGAATTTGTGGAGCAGAATTCTGGAAAGGAGGAGGCTAGGCAGAGAAATAGCTCCAGAGATTTATATTAGGGTCTTGAGTCTGTTGCTGAATTCCAAGCCACAGATGTGTAGGGTGAAAATCCATGAGGCTGGGCAAAAAAAAAAAATGGAGATTTGTAAACTGACCAATTCCCAGAGATCTCAAAGAGCTAGAAGTTTGAGTTCTGGTGAGTCAATGGGAAGAGTGAGGCCTTAGTGAATGCCAGGGCATCCAGTAGAGACCCAAGAAGTATATAGTAGTAGGACTAAACTAGTTCTAGATTAACACTACTCTAGACCTGCCCTTTCCAATAAAACTTACTGCAGTTACAAATATGTTTTGCATTTGTATTGTGCCCTACAGTAGCCACAAACCACATGTGGCTTTGAGTGCTCAAAATGTGGCTGTTGTGACTGAGGAAATTAATTTTTAATTGTATTTAATACTAATTTAAATTTAAATAGCCACAGCTATAGACTCACCACAGCAAAATTTTAAAAAATCTTAAAACAAGCTTCGAAAGGACCAAGCTGATTCTAAAGTAACTTAACTGCCTCTGAGAGTAAAGTCTAATACTCTTTTTAAAAAAGACAATAGAATTCTTTTTCATATGAAATCATGTTTTACCTATGTGACAAATAGCAGACTGTGGAAGTGACAGTGTTTGACCTCTAAAGCTGGATCCTAAAGGCATTGGCACCTTAATCTTCCACCTTAGTCTCTTGAAACTTTCTCTCTAAGAGAAGCCAACTGCAATGTTGGGGAAACTCTCAAATACTCCTGTAAAAAAAAAAAAAAAAAAAAACAAAAAAACAAGAAAGTAGTTGAGTCCTCCCACCAAAAAGCCAGCACCAACTTGCTAGTCACATGAATGGATGAGCTATGTTAGAAACAGGCCCTCCAACCCTAGTTACACATCAGCAACACCAGCAGTCATCACAACCTCATGAAAAAGCCTAAACCAGAACCATGTAATCAAATCATTCCTGAATTCCTCGCCCACAGAAACCATTAGAGTATAAGTAATGTATTACTGGTGTTTAAAACCACTGTGTTTCAAGGTAATTAAAAAAGAAAAAGAAAACACAGTATTAGTTAACTAACACAATCTGGAATTATTTTATCCCAATAAGTTCAACAACCTAAATTTAAAAATGCAAATTCTTTAAAAGATACAAATAATTACCACTGATACAAGAAGAAATAAAATATCTGAATAGTCTGATATCTATTAAAGAAATTAAATTTATAATTAAAATGATCTTACAAAGAAATTCCAGGCTCTGATGACTTAGTTCACCAGTGAATTCTATCAAAGTTTTAAAGGAAAGAAAATATTATGCCAATTCTACACAAACTCTTTCAGAAAATAGACGGAAAAACACTTCCAAACTCATTTTACAAGGCCAGCATAACTCAGATACCACATTCAGGAAAGATAGTAAAAGAAAAGGAAGCTACGGATAGCCCTCATGAACATAAATTCAAATATTCTTAAGAATATTTTAACAAGTTGAGTCAATTAATAAATAGAATAATACAGCATGACCAAAAGAATTTTTCTCAGAAATGCAATTTTGAATTAACATTCAAAAATTAAGTAATGGAAAATGTTGTGGAATTAGGTTGTGGTGATGATTGCACCACCTAGTGAATATATTAAAAGCCACTGAATTGTAGTCTTCAAAATGACAAACTTTATGGTATGTGAATTATACCTCAATAAAACTACTATAAGTATAGATTAGTATAAATCGCCAAATTAACAGAAAAAGAAATAAAATACATGTGTCTATCTTAAAAGATGAATAGAAGCATTTAATAAAATTAATCTCCCATTCGTGGTAAAAACTCACAGAAAACTACAATTACAAGTCAACTTGCTAAAGAAAATCTAAGAAAGGAAACTACAGATAGCATCATACTTGAAGGTAAAATGCTGACTGCTTTGTCTTTAAGATCAACAAGACAAGGATATCCACTCTCACCATTTCTATTCATTATTGTACTAGAGATCGTAGATAAGGCAAGAAAAATAAATAAAAGGAAGAAGCAAAACTGTCTTTATTCAAAGATAACATAATGGTCTGCATTAAAAGCCCTAAAAAAATCTACTAAAAAAAAAAAAAAAAGTCTATCCAACTAATAAGTGAGTTTAGCAATTTTGCAAACTACAAGGTAAATTTACAATGAACACCTGGAAACTGAAATTGAAAAATAAAACAAGTCCATTTACAATAGCAGAGACATCCACTTTTAGCCCAGATGAAATAATAGGAACCAGACTTACCTTATTCCTGAAACACTAATAAAATGGACAAAATATATGAAATGAAAGTTTTGAAGATACGAGGCATCACGTAAAGAGGGACAGTGATTCCTGAGTGAAGGAAAACAAATGAGCTGAGCCCTACAATCACTTCCTCGTACTGCCATGAGAGAATTTCCAGGCTATGGCAAAAGGAGAGAGAAGCCAGGCAAAAGCTGGTGGACGCCCTGAGTGGAGGAAATGGTGTTAGGAACCTAGGAAAACCAAGGCAGACAGAATTTGCAAGACAACATACTGGGGATAAAATGGATGTACACAGAGAGAACATGGGGTTTCTGCAGAGGGTCATGCTTGAATATAAGGTCAAAAGCCCGTCAGTGCATGCATGTGAAAATATGACCGGAACTCAGGAAAGAACCACAGAAAAATTAGAGGTGATAGCCCCCAGCACTCATAAAAGTCTGGAAATTCCCATCTGCCAAAGTAGAAAACCCCACAATTCCCAGGGCAGTAGGTAGGTGCCCAATGTCTTGCGCTGGTAGTGCCTCAGTCATCTCGCCTAACAAAATTTGAAAGGAAAACTCTAAAAGATCAAACTGTTTGCAAGTAACTTAATGTACCCTAGTACAAAGCTTAAGAATATTTATAGGAACACATAAATATTCAGTTCTAACAAGGTAAATTTTATAGCATCTGAAAGTCAATAAGAAATTCTCAGGCCTAATGTAATGGAGTACTATGAAGCTGAAAAAAAAATTCAAAGATAAGGAAGATCTCTTGGAACTAATATGGAATGATTTCTAGGACATACTTGTAAGGGAAAAAATACAAAGCCCACAAAAATTATCTATAGCATACTTCACTTAACAGAAGAAAGGAATATTGGATAATATGCCAGTGTCTGCTTATTTGCCTAATGATGATTCTCTATTTCTTTCATTCCTGAAGAAGGAAGTCAGGAAAGGTGAATTAGAAACTGAAGAGATTGGTTGGCTACAGGGGTCTGTGGGAAAGGGGTGAGAATAGGAGATAAGGAGTTAGGGTAGCAGGGATGAAAAAGGAACACTTCCTTTTAATATAACTGACTTTTAGAACCACAGCAATATTTTACGTATCCTTCACATACTCCAAAATTAAACGAGTAATTTAAAGCAACCACTAAAGCAATCAGGACATGGAGGTGACTCCAAATGGAATATAAACACTAGAAATGAACCTAACTGCATTACAAATGAGTAACATAACCACACTGAAGTGTAAAGGGAAGACAAGAACTACCCAAAGTCACTTTGGAAAACAGTACCTCAACTGGATACTGCAAGGCTAAAAACAAAAATAACTACATAAAAACTGTAATCTAGTTACTAAGAGATTTGTTTTTGATTTTCATCAGGGGTAATGTCTAGCAATTCTTAAACTAGTTTATGTTTATATTAGACTTGAACAAAAAAGTGAATAGATTGTAGATAATGAGAGCTATGATTTCTTGGCGTTAGAGAAAGAATATACAAATAAGGAAAAAGGAAAGCCTAAAATCAATGCATGCTATTGGATTTGAATCAGAGATAGCAGTATTAACTCATGGTTTTTAATGTCTGTCCATATAAATACAAAAATATAGATATGTGTACATGCATGGATTAGTATACATACATAAAATAACTAGCTCTACCTGTTTCGAGGGTCAGAGCAATGACACCCTAATAATAATGAGACTACGTTACATCAGTTACTGGTCTCTAAACACTGTATGCAAAAAAAAGGAACCAGAGCTTCTCGGAGAAGGGATTCATTCCAGGGATGGAACACCGTAACATAAAGTGAGACAGGAACATCACGTGGTGCCAGAAAGTGAAATGCTCAAAAAGTTTGGGGGGTGGAAGTGGGGAGGTGGTCTTGATAAAAGAATACAAGAGCCCACCTGAAGGAGCTCTTCTTGGCCAAAACTGGAAAAACATGAACAACAAAATTTTAGCAACAAAATTGGATGTTAAGCCATAAATAAACATCCACTAGTCCATAATGATATAGATAAACAATGGAATAAATAAATAAACATGAGAGAAGAGATAGTTCTTCCTCCCAGTAGTATTCAAATTCATAAATGTGGAAGGAAAAAATCATCATTAGCGAAACACCATAAAATAAATGATGCAGACATGATCTTGGAAATATTAGCTGCTACTAGCCCTAGTATAATTTGCATACAATAAAATGCCCCATTTTATATATACAGTTCAATGACTTTTGGCAAATTTATATACATTTATGTAACCATCACAAAAATGCTTTGGAATATTTCTATCATGTGAAAAATTCCCTGCACACTCCTTTGCAATTAATCTCTCCCATCCCCGCCAAGACAACCACTGTCACTATAAATTAGTTTTGCTTTTCCTAGAATTTTATAACATATTACTCTAGAAGCTTTCTAACCTAAACTGTGAAGTCAGTCAACAAACACCAGAGAAATAATACCAAAGTTTTTCTGCTTTTTATAGTTCTATCAAAACGTAACATAATATCCAGATGTCAAGCTGGGCTTCATTTGGAACTAGAGTCTCCCTGAATTAGTCAGGGTCCAGGGAGAAAAACATTAGATGAAATTTAATATTGGGAATGTTAGCCGCTACGAGCCCTAAGCTGGAAGGACAATAGGAGGAGGCAGTTATAGCAGAGCTGGACTGAAACTCCATCCACGGTTGGAGTTGTCTGGAGATGCTACTGAAGCACAGAGCGGAAAGATTCCCTGGCTGCTTCTCCCTCTCCCGCCCTTCAATCTCTCCAGTTCCTCCTGTTGACCCAATATAGCAGGAAGCAAGTGGCAAAGGAGCCTGGGAACTGCAGTGTGGCAGGACCATCCCCTGCAGTGCCGGGTAAAGCCGAGGAAGGCCAGGAAATGGATCTGAGGCCAAACAGGCAATTGACCCGCTCCCAGCACGAGATGCTTCTTTACTTTCCATTGTGGAAAACTGAGAGGAAAAGTGCTGGTGTGGAAGGTTTAAAGTTCTAAATATTTTATCGTGACCTTCTTGAGGAAGATAAAGGAGGACAAATCATTTCGTTTCAAAACACCTCCCAGGGGTGTTTTGTAAAATAATGAAAATACGCCTAGAACTTATCACAGAACCAGTGCCAGATGAACACTGAATAATTTCTGTGCTTCAAATCTTACCTTGGAGGGTCATTCCATTTTGTGAAGAAAATGAAGAAAATTGCGAGTGAAAAGAGAACAAATATTTTAACACCTGAGCATTCTTCTTTATAAAATTAAATAAAGCAAAGAGACTGATAGAACCACAGCCAAGGTGTTTGTCATTTTGAAATGCTAAAGTATCACTGAGCAAATAATAAACCAGAAAAAGCAAACATTCATTTTCCTGCCATTTCAGGGTGTGATCCTAATTCCTTCAATTCAGCATATTTATGATCTGCCTTGCCCTCTTTCCTGCATTCTCCCAATTCTTCCGTCCTTGCAGGATGCTGTCCTTTCACACGTGTTCTTCTCCCTTAATAAAGTAATAGCTGACACAGTCTGCCCTCTCTGCAGAGTAATTACGTTAGCCTGTTATTGATTTTGTTGCTAAGGCTGAGAATCTGCTAAGGCTCCACTGTGGGAGTGATAGGAAGCAGGCGAGGGAAACGCATGTTCTTATAATTTTCCCATAAACCAGATGTTTTCTTTAACTCTTACATCTTTAAAATATTTTCTCTTGTGGGGGAAAAAAAAAAAGAAAAGGATTAGAACAAGTTTAGGATGCCAGTTCTTATTTTCTCAGCATACCACAAGTACACACCCAAATAACTGAGTGTGGAGAATTCGTGCTTGTGGGCACCTGTGTATCTGCTACGCATTTGATAAGCTATATATAATTCAAGTAAAACCTGATTCTTAAGTAGATTACATTCTTCCCATTGTCCAGTGATTCCATTTCGATGACCATGCTGTATTAAGGCACCACCCCAACCTAAGCAGGGTCAAACAACAACAGTTTTATTATCTCACAGATTTTTCAGGTCAAAGATTTAGGTAAGACTCAGCCAGGGCTGTCATCTGAGTTCAGCTGGGATTGTCACCCAGAATATCGCCTCTCCAAGTATGGCAGTTTCAGGGTAGTTGGACTTTCATAGCAATTGGTTTCTTCCAGAATGAATGTCCCAAGAGAACCGGGAGCATGCTGAGCTTTTATGACCTCGCTTCAGAAGTCCTGTGACCTCATTTCCACCATACTCTATTCAAACAGGGGCAATTTTGCCCCACATAGATTGTTTGGCACTTGGGGGGGATAGGAAGCAGGCGAGGGAAACGCACGTTCTTATAATTTTCCCATAAACCAGATGTTTTCTTTAACTCTTACATCTTTAAAATATTTTCTCTTGTGGGGGAAAAAAAAAAGAAAAGGATTAGAACAAGTTTAGGATGCCAGTTCTTATTTTCTCAGCATACCACAAGTACACACCCAAATAACTGAGTGTGGAGAATTCGTGCTTGTGGGCACCTGTGTATCTGCTACACATTTGATAAGCTATATATAATTCAAGTAAAACCTGATTCTTAAGTAGATTACATTCTTCCCATTTTCCAGTGATTCCATTTCGATGACCATGCTGTATTAAGGCACCACCCCAACCTAAGCAGGGTCAAACAACAACAGTTTTATTATCTCACAGATTTTTCAGGTCAAAGATTTAGGTAAGACTCAGCCAGGGCTGTCATCTGAGTTCAGCTGGGATTGTCACCCAGAATATCGCCTCTCCAAGTATGGCAGTTTCAGGGTAGTTGGACTTTCATAGCAATTGGTTTCTTCCAGAATGAATGTCCCAAGAGAATCGGGAGCATCCTGAGCTTTTATGACCTCGCTTCAGAAGTCCTGTGACCTCATTTCCACCATACTCTATTCAAACAGGGGCAATTTTGCCCCACATAGATTGTTTGGCAACGTCTGAATACACTTTTGGTTTGCACAACTGGGGACAGGGTTATACAGGCATCTAGTGGCTTGAGACCAGGGATGCTGCTAAATATTCAGTTCACAGAATAGCCCTCACCCCCCTCACAGCAAAGAATTTGTGACCCAAGCATCAGCATCACTGAAGTTAAAGATCCCTGCTCCATTGATTGTGGCACCCACAGCCTGAAGATTTAAGGAGAAGTAACATGGACCCTAATTCTTAATGAGAGGAGAGTAAAAAAAAATTCATGGAGAATTTTAAAAAGTACCATGAAGTCATGAATTTACTTTTTTTCTAATTCCAAGAATAAGTCTTCTAGTAATCCAATCCATAGGAGGTGAATTATAAAATTGAGAGAGAAGAAAGCTGTAAGGGTTTCAAAACCATGCAAATGTAAATGTAAATATAAATTCCCAGACCAAGTCACACAGCTGAACAGGAAAGCCTGGGCTCATATATTGGTGTTATAATTCGATGTCCCCAAGCCATTATTTGCTCTTGATACTCAATGTTTCTACTTCTTTTCACTCACTCCAATGTTAATTTTAGATGAATGTTATTTTTAGATGTTAGTGTGATTATATTTAAATATCATTTTCAAACTGACCTGCCCGAAGTCTCGGGTACATTTTTAAGCCCCAGAGCTCCAGGATAGAAAAATAAACAGCATTGCTGGATGACAAGGCGGATGCTCTGTGCCCACAGAAGCGGTCTCTCTGACTTCAGCAAGCCCAGGGAGCTGTAGAAAGTTTTCTCCCTCAGTCTCTTCACACTGAAGAATGGCTGCCTCGGCAAGGCTAGAGCCTGTCTCAAGACTGTTCCCTAAAACGGTAAGATGTGTAGTGATGGCAGTTGGGGACAATGATGTCATGGAACAAGCTGACTGGTTTTATATAATGGGAAAAAGAATTTTACAAAAGCTAATGGCACCAAAAACTTTTCTTCTTAATTGTTTTTCTTTTACTCTTTTCTAAAAATGGGTTCTTATATTCCTGTATTTGTTCTAACAGCCTTTCCTGCTGTCTTCGATAAAACACCTGATTTCTTATCTCATTTTCTTCAGTTAGTAAAAGAGGGAAATAATCTGGTTTCATTTCTGAAGGAGCTTTTATATTTTAGGTTCTGTACTGAATATAAACAGTATAATAGTGAACGGCAGACCCCAAACTAGTTGATAGAACTCCTGAGGTCACCTGCCCCCACGTGGGAGATAAGCCAAACTGATATTTACATTGCATATATATTATATATGTGTATGTGTATATAGATAATATATCAATATATAATAATAAGGATTGTAAGTGAAGGAAGAACCTCTAACTCTATTCTTAGAGTCCAGAAGTCTTGGAGTCAGTGGCATCTAAATTCAGAGTGAGATTTAGATAAAAAAAATAGTTGGGGCGAAGTGTGAATGGGAGTTTTCCAAGCCAAGAAAACAGAGTCGATGAAGTCCCCTTTGCAGGTTCAACACTGCTTTTGTTTGTTGTTGGTGGTGGTGGTGGTGCTGGTGGTGGTGGTGGTGGGTTTTTTTTTGTTATAGGATTCTCTATCTGCCTGTATGTGGATTTAAGATGATAGAGACTAATTCTTAAATCTTTCTACAAAAGCGGCAAGTAATTTGGGCATTAGCTCTATAAATCTCTATTTTTCTGCATGTGAATATGCGTTATTTCAATATTATGTCCTTTTTACTTGTTTTGTGCTATTTATACAACCTGGGAAATTTTTGTTTCATCTCTCTTCATTTCCAGTGATGCTTTTTATTTAAAATCAGCCTAACACTCACCAGCGATCTAAGATGTGCCTTTAACCAAGCCCCTTGAAGCAGATCTTGTGCCCTAAACAGTCCTAGTTATCCATCACTTCTAACAGCTTAATGTGCATTTGTAGCGGGGACAAAACCCACAAAGCTGTTTTAGTTTTCATCTCTGAAAAATCTACTGAATCACATATTTGTTAGTAATGTAAACAATGGCAAGTTCGCTGTCTTCACTTTTCAAACACTGCCTTATTGAACTGGGCTTTATTTTCCCGCACAGCTCAATCACTTCCATGCAGAAAAATGATACTCTAGCTTTTTGCCTTACTTAATAAAATGCTCCAAGGTGGCTCGTTTCTAATTTCAGTTATATAGAGACAGCCCTCCGAATTGCGGGCCAGCAATGCTCCATGGATCATTATAAAAGAAGGAACATTTAAAATGAAAGAAAAGATAGTTGGACTCTAAAAATAACAATCAGGGCTTTCAAAACTGACCACTCATTTTCTTTCATCAGCCCAGTAGAGCAAGAATCAGTAACCACCCAAACAGAAACATCCTCCTTCTGGGATAACAATGAAGCTCTAGATTTTTCACCGATTATTTGGGCCACATGGTCTAGCCCAGTGCTGTTCTTTGCACGCCAGTCCACAGATCTTCGCAGATCACAGCTTTTGATCTGAGTGTGAGCTCCAACCCATTCCTCACATCTTATTCTCACCCTAATTTTTATTTTTATCCTCCTGACTTCTGATCTCATTTTTTGTTCCTATTTTGTCCTTACCTCAAGCTTTCAACTTGATATACTACATTATCATAGCTACAGATCCGGCTTAATCACTATCAAATTTGTAGTTCTCAGCTCCAAATCACGTGGCCTTGGGCTACTTAGAGTACTCATTACCTGACCCCCAGAACTGCTGTTTCTAAGTCTGCCCCCACCAAGGGTAGAGCCTTAATATGTGTCATGCAGATCCTGAAAGTCTGCATTTCAGGGTCTGGAAACAGTATAATACACTGGTTAAGACTGAAATCTACAGTCAAACATACTGGGATTTTAAATATCAGCTCCATGAATTATTAGTTATATGAGATTTATAAATTTAGTTATAATTATTTATATTTAATTTCTTCATAAAATGTTGATGTGGATAGTATTTACCTCTTGGGTTTGTAAGAACTAAATAAGATAAAGTTAGAAGATGATTAGTCTATAAGCAAATAGATATCATTATTAATTTCATCATTAATGATATTGGTAGTACTATATAAACAATAATGAATTATGATAAAATGCTTTTAAGATTATCTTACATTTTTTATAATTATAACTTTTACAGCGTGCACATTCAGTAGACACAAGCAGATTGATTTGATATGTTCACAGAGAATTAGTGAGATTATTTCAAACTGAGAAAATAATCTTCAGTGCTGACACAAATTGTGGTCATTAAGATTTTATCTGAAATATAAAGAATACCATTATTTAACAGCTGTCTTTGTTGTAAGAGTTTCACAAATATTTAATTGAAGCTACAAATGAGGAAATTATCATTTAATAAAAAATTCAAACTCAATTGTCTTCCCTTCACAACCACACACCTTCCCCTAAACCATCGAGCCTCATATTTCAATTTGTATCAAAATAACCTAAAATTCCCAGAAACTACCCCTAGATATATAGGTGTATCACAAGCCAGGAATCTGAATTTTTAACAAACACCCTGTATCATTCTTATCATGGTTCTGCCCGGACATCAAACTTGAGGATAATTGTTCTGAATACAAAAGGCTAGAAAATAAATATAAAAATTATGTTTATTTGCTTTTAATTGAGCTAGAAATTGACATAAAACATTATATTAGTTTCAGGTGTACAACATAATGATTTGATATTTGTGTATATTGTGAAATGATCACCACAGTAAGTCTAGTTAATATCCATCACTGCACATAGTTAC